AATCTATGCCACGAAGAATTGAGGCAGTTCTGAAGGCAAAAGGGGGTCCAACCCGTTACTAGCGTGGTGTACCTAATAAAGTGGCCGGTGAGTGTATATCCCTATGGTGATCCAGCATCAAACAGTTATGTCTGAAAGCTCCTAACTGTTCTGACTGTTWGGCTGCTGAAGCGACTGACTCTGACAAACTGCCTGCAAGTGGAAACTAACCATCCTCACCAGCTTCATTTACACAGCTATGCTGCTTCGCTTGTTCTACATTCAAACTTGGATTGATCTAATGGCTCACTTATGGGCACAGGTCAAAGCCTAACAAAACTAACCCTTCTTCTCCACACACTCGCGTGCCTTTTAGGATCAGCAGGAAAAACAACAAACCTTGAAACGTTACAGTTAATAGAAAAGGAACTAAGTGTCCACTGACTCACAACACCTCCGGCCATACCCACATATGTTTGTGTCATAGTTCAGCGTCAGTGAGGATATTTCAGACAGCATGCTATTCATATGCATATTAGCAATTACAGCCTCTTATCCTATTCATTAAACATAATAACTGCACATTATACCGGAGGCTAGAAGGAACAATGGCATCCGTCCAACACAAAGCCGGCGCACTCCGAGTGCCAATCAAGTCACCCCTAATGACACGGAGGTAAGAGCAGCAACAAGGCCCGATGCTGGATCATTTTCACTGCTTGTGCGGCTGCAGAGGAGAGTTGAAGAGAAAACCAGAACGTACTTTCCCGTGAAAGACCATCTCGTATCCTTCTCTGTCTTTGATCTTGTTGTAGAGGTACTCCGACAGCTCCAAACACTTGTCGATTTGAGCCTCAAAGCCTACGGTGCCCTGTTGGAGAGAAGAGTTTGTTCTGCAAGAGCTGATCTGTAAAACATTTGGGTTCATCTTTAGGTAAGCTGAGAATATTTACTAAACGTCAAGAGGGGTGACATGAGAGACCCCTTCTAAATGTCTACGTGCAAATTGTTTTTACATAATGTCATTGTGTCATAGGAAACAGACTTTTGAACAATATATTATCTTTCTTTTTACTCAGAAAGAGCATCAATAATATTTAAAATAATATGTCAGAAAATATTACTGTTTTCTAGAGCAAGTAACATTTTTACTGAAAAGTCTATTTTTTATTTTAAACAGAAARCATTTACATTTATGAGTAATTTTAGGGCTGCATAATAGTAGAATAGATACTAGTGTAAAATGCACAACTTTTCAATATATTGTGTATTTTTTTTTTTACCAAATTAGGCAGAAAATTTGAGGTTAAAATCAATTTGRTGAAAACTATTGATTGTGTTCTATTCTGATACAATAAAACAGGGTTTTGCTCCGTATCTGATGCACTTTACTGCCTCCTGCAGGCAGATGAGACCCCCTACCTTAGCTCGCCACATGAGCCACAGCTTAAAGATGTCCACATGGCGTCCACACTGAAGCGCCTTGTCCCCGGTGTCGTAGGACAGGTCGTACTGTTTGTCCTGCTGGAACAGGTAGCAGGCGTGCATCTGGTTGCAGTTCTGCATCAAACCCTGCAGAGCCACATGTTTTCAGCTTAGCGTGAATGACGAAAGCAGGAAAGCGAAGAACATCTTCACAAAAGCAAAGTTTACCTCCTCTCTGACCAGCAGGGCCGAACACTGCAGAGGGACCGACATCATTTTGTGTGGGTTCCATGTTACAGAGTTGGCCCTGTGGAAAAATAAAACTTATTTTTTAGTTGCTAAATTCTTTAACTTAATTGTTTGCATCTTTTTATATTTATTTTAAAAAAGAAAGACATGGTCACTTACCTCTCAACTCCATTCAGCTTATACCGGTGTCTCCTGGACATGAGCAGACTTCCTCCCCACGCTCCCTGACAGACGAAACAAAAACKTCACTAATAAAACAACTTAAAACTTTCATGAATCCCTGATAAAGACGGTAAAGTTTTCTGCAATCAGTCCAGGAGCCCTTACTGTATTATTTAACAYAACAAATTCATGTATTCTCCGACTCTCAAGGAGCATCAAAAGTTTAAATACATTTTCTGACAACTTGATTAAAAAAAACTTTTTATATGTTTCTACACTAGCCTGGATGTGATCAGTTTAACTCAGAAGTTGTCATCCACTCATCATGATATAAGTGTCATATTAATTTAAGTTTATAATCATGGGAGTATTTTGTTGGGGGGGGGGGGGTTAAGCCCCACAGTAATTTGATCCAGTCAGTAACCCCAAACACTCAATAAAATTACAGTACATAATTTGTTCTAACACAATAGAAATGAACTGGTTAAGTACACAGCTGTTGTCTTTGGGTAACTTCGACCTTATTAAGATAAGATGAGATGAGATGAGATGAGATGAGATGAGATAAAACTTTATTGATCCCATAGTGGGGAAAATTGCACATTACTGCAGCTCAAAACAGGAGAGGGTGAGATAGAGTAAAGAAAGATAAGTAAAAGAAAAACAGTAATCGTGATACATAACAATGTACATATACCTAGTACAGTAAATAAATATATGTATATGAAGGTGCATATTAGTGATGGCAGGTGAATTGTCCAAGTGACTGATAATATCATGATGTGTTATACAGTCTAACTATCATAATTATATTATAATATATATTATATTATATGTTAATTATTGCAACATTTATGATGTACATTTAAGCAAAATTGCTGAAAATGACATGCAGGGTTTTAGTCTGCTCTTGTCAAATTATGGCTGGATTTGT